TACATGGTTTCATTCATGGACACATTTTTTTTAGATATGTTACTCTTAGCATTCTACTATTAGAAAGATGGTATGTTTGTATTCAGTAAAATTATGACTGACAAGGTTGGAAGCCCTGCTTGCTCTGAGGTACACAGTGCTCTTGCTTTTCCTATAACTGCTCTTCCCTCTTTGAAGATGCTTTATCTATCTTTCCCCTTCAGATATCAGGTCTTTTGGAATAATGGTAACCTGTAAACTCCTGAGAACTAGCTATTCATGAAACAGCTGCTTTTTGTTGGCAATACCGTAGTATTAAGTTTCTGTTTCATTGAAGGAGAATAGATTGCCAGAGTCATGGGAGGATGCTCCTTGTTTATTCTTAAAGTATCCATTTTACTTGAGGTTACTATTGCTGCCAGCAGGTAGATAAGCAGGATTCAACAGACTCCACCTAGACTGATCTACAGTTCTTTAGCCCATGCTAGCTGCCCTGTATCACCACCAGGGTCTCAATGCCTCCTGTAGGGCCAACTGTCCAGAACRGGCAAAAAGCTGAGTCCTAAAACTCCTTGACAATGCTAAGACCAAAWGGGGATGGCAAAACCTGAATACTACCTTGGTTCCTCTCTGGTAGGCTACTGCTCTGCCTATTTGTACACTGAAGAGGACCACAGTCATCTTCCAACAATAGACCCATTGCCTTATAGGAATCCAGATTATGAAACTCAAGAGACTATTAGCTGACGTTTGGCAAGGACATTTCTGAGTCCTGGAGACCAGCCTGAAGCTGCTGCTTTAGCTTCACAGCTGGGTAGGGGAAGGATGATGTTATAATCAATCAGATCCTGATATAGCAATTTAAGCATGTTTTTCTAGAGGCCTTGTTCAACAAATTTCTTTTATTTGATTGAGGTGGTTTCAAAAGTAGATCTGGCATTTGTTGAGAGCATTTCCTTAAAGGGGCATTTGAGGTACAAGCCWGGAAGGACCACTGGTACTACTTTGAAGTCTCATGCAATTCAAATACAGGTTTAATCTCCTRCAACTGCAATCAGGTTAAAATAGACTGTAAAGTCACAGGTCAAGTAGTGCCAATTCTTAATTTGTGAGGCTGCTGATATTTCCAAATTGCCTTGCAGGGAAATGAAAAGCATTCATTTTGATCTAATGGTGGTAAATCTCTTTCCTGTCGAGAACCATCCGTGGGCTGTATGTGGACTACATCAGCATGGTAGCCAGTGAGGGGTAGATCTGGCATTGGAAACTTCCCTTGGCAGTCCCA